CTTCATTTGTAGAATTTCAATGGTTTTTGATTTATCAAACTTTTATATATTTATGTATATTAAAATAGATAACCTCCCACAATATTTGATAGCTGAATGTTGTTACTTGAATAGCCAACTACAAGATGACAATATGTTAGTTGTTGTCTCTACTGTTCATCTTTGTATATGTTTTTTCTCTGTTTATTTTTGATAAACGCGTCATGCACTGACAAACACATATTTTTCTTTGAATTAAAATGTCGTTTGCTTTCCTCTATTTTTTGTCTAATTGTTTAATAAGCTAAATAAAATTTGATTTTCTTTGTTTAGAACATAAAGACTTAAAAATTAAGAAGGAAATAAAACAGCTGTAACAAACGATTTGAGTTAAAAATAATCGCTAACATCAATGAAGATAAAGAAGAATGTTTAGTATGAAAATTAGTATCTTGTACGCATTTATTTTCTTCATCCGCTGTACAGTTAATGGAACAACTGCAGATAGAAGTTTTATAAATTGTCCTAGTCCCAGGCCACCAGAAAATACTATAATTGCTCAAGTTTTAAGATCGAGCTCTAACATTTTTAATTCTGACTACCTTGAACACGATAAAGTATACTTTCAATGCAAGGATGGTTATTCCAACATTGATATAAACTCATTGATGTATGCAACATGTGCATCAAACGGAAAATGGTTTCCCCCAACTGACATATTAGGAAAATGTGTTCTTGATCATCAGATCTCACAATGTCGAGATGGTTTTTTTCGTTGCCGAAAAAGTCGTAGTTGTATTGAAAAACACAAAAAATGTAACTGTGAACAAGATTGCGAAGACGGTTCGGACGAAGAAAATTGTCTTGAAAGGCGCAGGTATTATTTTGTTCCGTCACGTGGTAAAGATAGTAATGGGATCATAACAAGTCCAGGTTTTCCAAAAAGTTATCCTAAAAATTTCTCATGTACATACTATTTTAACACAATGAAAAACCACCACGTTGAGTTATTCTTTGAAGAGTTCCAGCTTCCTAATAGATCTTTTAACGAATGCACGGACTATTTATCTATTGGCATGGTTCAAACCAAAACAAAGCGTTTTCCGATGGGGGAAAAGATTTGTGGTCATGATTTATATTTTAAGTTTTTGCATTCCAATAAAACAAGAATAGTAATTAAAGTTGACCTAGGAACTAATAGCGTTAAACTCAACAATAAAGACCGCGTTCCTAAAGGATATTCATTTACATGGCGAGTCCGTTATAATGAGCTTGTTAAGAATCATTTAAACATGCTCGGTGAAAAGTTCCCAACAACAAAAAAAACTATACCAAACAATGAAAACCTGTATACCATAATAACTCCAGTTGCGATCACGTTTGTGCTTTCTATCTTACTTATAGCTTTCCTATATTATTACAAAAAAACAAAAACTAAAAACAATAAAAAAGAAGAAAATAAAACTGAAAATAATCTATTTAAAAAACAGTCACTAATTGAAGAACATTTAGATAAAACATATTTTGCAATTGTTAAGAAAAACGGGTTACTGCGTAATTCGTTAATTGGAAACCATAACAAAAAAAACAATTTAAAATCTACAAAAAACGAAAAATGTAATCTTCCTCAACAATCTTTTTTTGTAAAGCAACCTTTATGCAATTCAAATGATGTTAGCCGTTCAAACTCTGAAATGTCTTCTGAAGATATGAGATACGTTCAGTGTTACGATCTTCAGACGAACCATTATTATTCTGTAGTGGTAACACCACAATTAAATTTTAGTGCACCATCTAGTACAGACTCGTTAAATAAGAGCACACATTGTTGGTGTAATCAAAATCCTCCTACAAGGTTGTTACCAGTAGGACAGGAATACGGAGAGCTAGACATGCAACATATGTTTCCAGATTTCGAACAATATAACAAATGTTATAGTGATATAAATTATCCCATGGGTAGCGAAGAAAACATTGCTTTTGCTGAACTTTATAAAATGTATAACCCGAATATATGTGGAAAACATAACTTTGAAAATCTTAAAAATAGTATAGACAATTCTTCAACATTACTAGATTACAATAATAGACAAAAAAGATTTAATTTTGATACAAAATTCCTTGCACATGACTGTTCTGATTGTAGCAATTTTCTTGCTAGCAACTGCGCTGATGCCAAGAATTTTAATAATCTAAAATATTCACAACGAACCTTTGTTTGTAATGGTCACACGACAAACCATTGTTTATAATTGTTTATAGAGAACATTTTTTGATTGAAGTAAAAAATATTTATATATATAGTTAAACATAATTATTTTGTAAATAAAAAATAGCTTTCTTTGATAGAATAATAACATTTTTTATATCTTATATTTTTTACGCATTATTTGAACTACTAATAAGTAAACGGCCTGCTAGACCAAACTTTCTTTTGTGTTTGTTAGCGTTATTTTATTGGATTTGCAGTTTATCTAACCACATTTTTGTTATAGCTAGGGCAGCTGGATAGTATTTACAA